GAGAGAGGGAGAGACAGAGAGAGAGAGAGAGAGACAGAGAGAGAGAGAGAGACAGAGAGAGAGAGAGAGAGAGAGAGAAAGAGAGAGAGACCAAAAGAAGAAGACTGGAGACACAAGGCGAGATAAAGGTGGCCGATATGCTGCAAAGATCCATGATGAGGCGAGGCAAAGAGAGAAGCTTGAACTAAAAGAGACGAGGAACAGGCAGCAAGCACAGACTGTTGTGAGAGGAGTCAGTCCATTCCAACAACCAACAACATAACGTGTGTTGCAATCGTCTGTTTGACTGTTGTAGACTTCTCATTTGATTTTTGTTTTTTTGTTGGTGGTGGAGGGGTTTTTTTTAATGCTCATATCTTTTCATGAAGGGGGTTAATATCAACAGAAAAACTCAAGTAGTAAGTGGACAACCATGATGACGTGCGGTGCATTTGGTCAAGCACGCCACTCAGATGCAGACATGGCTATTGGCCACAGCTGGATGGGTGGACAAAATTTAATCACTTTTATCCCTGACTAAACTACAGACGATACGATTTCTTGAAAAGCAACGACTGAACATTATAAACCAGCTGACATAAATTGGTCTTTCAAAATTGAACCAAATTTCTTGTATCCATTGACCATTGCTTGATCATCTCACTAAGACAACTTATCACATTCTTTATTGTATGTTGGAGTTCGCCTGTTGTGGGGGGAGAAGTATGCCCAAATTAATCTCTATTTATGTGGACAAGTGAAATATATTATGGTACCAGTTATTCTCTGCAAGCGAGTCTGACACAACTTTCTTAATCAAATACTATGGATGAGACAAAAAGCAGCTGAAACTATTTTAAACCACCCACTTTCACTAAAAATTCATTCAGTCCAAGTGGTGTAAAAAGTTATTTTAGAAAAATCCCTGATTCCGTATTCCCACCAAGACTCCCTCTTTTCTGTATTTCACAATTGACCATACACTCTCTTTAGCTACACATATTTACATTCTCTAATGATACAATTGTTGAAGTCTCAACTTTTACATGATTTATGATGCAGACGTATAAGTTGGATAAAACATTGTTATATTGCAATCAAATTAGTGATTCAAAAGTTAACTCAAATCCAACCAATATCAATTTATAAACGATTTTTACACGTTTATATGGACAAATATGTGCTATTGAATTTAAATTGTCCATAATTTTACATTCATTTTCTAAAAATGGGGTCTCTTCAAAATGTTAACTTGAATGCGTCTTCCACTCAAAAGACTTCCGCCATTCAGCACTAGCTTTTCAAAACATATTAAGACTGCAAATTAAGGAAACAGAAAGACTTCAATTTTGAAAAGTAGAGCCTTGACAGACATAAAACACCTTATTTCCAACTATACTTTTTAATCATATGATAGACTGAAAAGTCTGATAGTGGGTGGTTGGCCGATGCTCGGGCATGATTTGTTCCTTTTTCTTGTCAAACATCTATCATCCTCATCTCTCCTTCTTTTTCTTCGTTTCTCTCTTGTAACATCTCTTTTCTTTGGTTTAACACTTATCTTGACCTAGTTGTGCTGTAGGTGCCTTAAAATTCTTACTGAAATAAACAAAAAAGTAGGACAAAAAAACCTTTTCACATTCCAAGTCTACTGCTGAAGACACAAACAAGGTCAGCTAGAACTACCGTCAAAACAGAGTTCATTTCCCATCATTAAATTGAAAAAAAAAACAACAACAAGACGTGACTCATACTTGTAGTACAAAACTTATCCTGTATGCCATGCTTATATACTTTCTTTCATTATTTAAAGCAGTAATATTCTTTCACCCGTAAGTGCCACATTTCTTTTTTTAAATGTTCTTAGAAAAAATTTTGTCCACGCACATCCTTTCCTGACCAATGTTGCCCATGCTCCAAACAGCACCCACACTTACGGTGAAAGGGCGTCAAAGTCATTGTAGTAATACGTCTCTCTTTCTTGTCTCAGACTGCCAGAAAAGCTCTGAAAACCCCTGAACACACAGGCATATGGACACAGATTTTCAGAGACAAATATGGTAAGTATGACCTGAATGGGAATCTTTGCATGAATTCTAAAACACTGATGACAAAAACTATTGATACAACGAACGAACACTTGTGAAGAGAGGTCAACAGGAATGACTGACTTATGTCCTGGCCACAGGACAATCTTTAACAAACACTTTAAAAAGACCAGCTAAAGCGAAAACAGAAATCAAGACATCAGTTCAAATGGCCGATAAAAATAAAAGAAAAAAAGAAAAAAAGAAAAAATTGCAAATTGAGGTGCAGTAGAAAATCTTATTCACATGTTTTAAAAAAGAATGGAGAAAGTATTAAATCTTATTATAATAATAAGATAGAGCTTGAAATGCCAAAACAATGACAAGAAAAAAAAATGTACCCTAGGTTCCCAAAGTAAATCTCAAAAGGTTTCGTACAGAAAATGCTGTTGTAATGCTTTATGGTTTCATCTTTTTTTGACGGTCCTTAATTTTTAAATAAAAATAGTTCATCTTCCGAAAGCCCCTGACTAAAAAAATCAAATCAATTAAACTAAGACCCTTCAGTTTCCATCACTGTCACTGGAAAGTAGAGCTCACAGAGATAAAATTACACTGAAACAAAGTCCCCAAAAAAACATAACATCCACAAATAACTTTTAAAAAACCAAAAGCATGCATAAGAGCCACAGAAAGGAAAGAAATTCATAGATGAATAAACGTTTTCCGCACTGAGAAAGCTAAATTGGTACAGTAAGAGAATATTAAAAAAGAAAAGAACAAGAAAAGAATGAGGGTGGGAGGCGTAGAGTTTCTCCAGTACTAAAACACTCAGCAAACAAGAAGAAAATTTGACAAACAGCAATAGAACAGTTCTAAAAAAGTCAGCTTACCTGAATTTCTTTTGAGCTAATTCACTTTTTGATAACTTGGAGAGTGTATCTAGAACCTGTGAGGAGAAAATATTATAAACCAACATAAAAGACATCTATGAGTTATGTTTGTTTCTCATACACTTTTTATAGTAACTTTTACCAGTCATTGCAATACTTTTATCAGAAAAAAAGAAAGGGTAAGTTGAACATTAAATCTTTCAGATGTCCACTGAATATAAAAATACAGCACAGCAAACTTGTCTTCGAATCTCATATTCTACCCCCGCCTCCAGTTTCACCGTAGAGGTGGGAAGACTTTAGTTTTAGTTGTAGTAGAGGTTTTACGGCGCTCGCAACTGCATAAGGTCATATATGAGTGCCAGAAGATTAGAGGTGTTACGAGAGAGTAACAAACATAAAAACGAAGAAGGGAAGATAAGGACAATAGATGTTTAATAGGAAAGAAGGAGCAAACCACACCAGAGCACCCGCCAACCACCCACTGGGAACACTTTTCTTTATGTACTGTAGTAAGTTCTGCAAGAACATAGAGTGTGTGCAGTGAATGGGTCATGAGAGAGAGAGAGAGAGAGAGAGAGAGAGAGAGAGAGAGAGAGAGTAAAACAAAGATGCCAAGAGACATACAGACAGACACAGATAGAAAGTAAGCGAGACAGACTGAGAGAGAAAAAGAGAGAGGGGGGGGGAGAGAGAAAGAGAGAGAGAGAGAGAGAGAGAGAGAGAGAGAGAGAGAGAGAAAATACAGACTGAGAGATAGAGGCAGTGTGATGTACCGATATTTCATAAAGTCGAAAGTCCTTTCAACAATCAATAACTCACCCGTCTAAAGTCTTTTACATCAAATAGATCATTTGGCTTGAACAAGTCTCGATTGTCCAAACCAAAGGTTGTGGTACAAGTCTGGAGGAATGTCCGTATATTTTTCATACACAGGAACTGAAATAAAAAGAAGGCACAATACAAGAAACTAGGAAATTTCCAAAATTTAAAAAAATATTTTATAGTAGAGGGTTTTACGGCGCTCGCAACTGCATAAGGTCAAAATATGAGTGCCAAGGGGTTGGTGTCAACAGAGAAGTCTTTACAGGGAATCAGACTTATTCAGCTCACCTCTCTAGCTTCAACAGCACAAGGTCTGCTTCGACTATCAAGGAACCCTGGAAATAGCAGTTCACAAGAGAGTGACAAACATACAAAAAAAGTAGAGGAAATGACAATAGTACAGATTAGGAAAGAAAAAGCAGCAGTTCCCTTTTGTAGATCAGGAACAGTTATGAGCGTGACATGAATCAGCCCATTAACAATTCTACTGTAAAAATATAAAAACGAGAAATGTCCCCCTTTTAGGAATGGCCAGTGGCACTGCCGCCGGGGGTTCCAAGATGTTTAACATCAAAAAGAAAAGTTTCTTACCAATCAGTAATAAGTGACAGTTCCATGCAGCAGATCAAGTCTAGACAATGTCAATCTACTTTAATTGACACGTATAATGATAAACGCACTGAACAAAGTTAGCACACAATTGCTGGTCCTAATCAAACTCTCTAGTTGCACTTTTCTCAGACAACTGGTTTAAAGAGTGGGAAATGTGGGCTATCAACGCTATACAGGAGAGAACTTTGTCTAGCCAGGGTGAGGGAAAAGGGAAGGTGGGGGTCATTGTTTTTGGGTCTTTCATCCCTGGTAAAACTCCCTCTGCTACAAAACACAACCAATAAAGTTAATAAACCATCGCAATAGCTAGTCTAAAATCTTAGCCAGGTAAGCTTATTGGAGTAAAGAAAATAAATGACCCAATGCATCATCAAACAGAACCAAAGGTGACTAAAAATTAATAATTAATGGCAATTAAGTTCAGAACCATGCTGACAATAAATGTACTGACAGGGAGTAACTAGAGACAGGTTGACTGATTAAATTATCACTGATCATGAAAATACAATCTAAATTATAATTAACCGATTCCATCCATTCGGCCGCTGACAGCGGCTCTGGGTTTTTTCGCTGCCGTCATTCGACCGCTGTGAGCTCTACGAAATCTGAGTGAAATCCGAAACAAATGTGCACTTTTTTAATATAGTTCCTACTTTTTAAGTTGTCGAAAGGAAGTAGAACTTGTAAACAAGCCTGACCTCAATCTTTGAGGCCCAAAATCGATTGAAACTCTGCGAAATTCTTCTCGCAAAAATTGTTGTTTTGATGTCACTATGTAAGGATAACAACACAGAGCCTGGTAAATAATAAAAAATGAAAAACTCTTTAGTGAAAGATGTTCAACTAAATTATGGGAAATTCTTACATGTATGGTGTGCTAGAGTGATATCGCTACAATTTTGTGTTGATTCCTATGGATTAAAAGGACTTAGAGCTCAGAAAATGAGGTAAGTTGAAATTTTCAAAGAGGTGTCGCACATTTTTTTTTACTCATTCGTTTTTGTCTGAGGGAAAATACAATAAAAACAGAATATACGTCATTGTTATGATCAATATTTATAAACAGATTCCTCTATTGATTCCCATCAGTTTGGTATAATACATTATATTAGAGTGACTTAGTAAAGAGCTTTGTTCACAGTAATGCATTAAATAGATGCACCCCAGGTCAAAACTGAACAGGGAAAAATAATTCTGTCCAGAGCCTGAAAAAATCATGGATGGAATTGATCAGTTAATGTATATAAAGTGCCAAGGTGCTATTCTGATACGATTCAAATCATCAGTCTTCTATCATTCAAAATTTTAGAGTAACCAAGTGAGGAGCCAAACTGGCAATCCGATGCATCTCTTTGCGTCCTGAAGGCACTTGGAGGATTTGCTGACAAGGTGCACGGCATTCGCTCAAACTTGCTCAGCGTGACAGGAGGCAGTGTCAACAAAATTGTCTTTTTTACTACAGACTACTAGATCTCTTCAAATCCGCAAATCTAAAAGAGTGCTCATTTTAAATGTTGACAAAAATATCTGTTTGGATTTAGCCTACATGAAACACTGAATTGGCTAAACTATCAGCAAGAATAAATCTCTTCTCCACCACCCAGACAACAAAAAGTAAAGTGAGCGGCTCCTCGGGTCTCGCCCAGTACACAGTTTGCAGTCACTTGGCGGTGAAAATTATATCAGTTCTGGTCACCTGGCGAGAAGTCCATTGCAGTCGCTCTCCTGGCTTGGTGACCAGATGGGGTATTTTTTTTTACGAAGGGACTATTTCTCCGAACGTTCCGGAAAATCTCGATCTCGAGATTTTTTGGGTTATATTGCCAGATTTAGGCGTCATCCTTTCATTCTGCCATTCTGTGAGGACTGGGAAGAAGCATTTTTTGCATCAAATTCAATTTCTCTAGAGCTAGAGATTTTTAAATGTCTGAATATTAAGATACTTCAGTTGTGGTTGGGGCAACGTTCCCGGACTATACTTCATTTGAAAATACCTTCAAAAAGTACTGCGAGAAAACAAGACTGCTCGACCTTGGCAGTAACCTATTTTGCATTTAGCCACCCAGCAAAAACTAATATCCTTCATGTAAAAAAAAAAATCCCTCTACGCCCCCCCCCCCCTCACCCGTTCACACCTTACACACACACATACACACACATGCCCACTCACACACACATACACAGGCACGCACGCACGCACGCACGCACACACACACACACACACACGGGCCACTCCATTCGCTTATATCAACAAATTTCGAGAACGGAAACTGTTCGGAGAAATAGAATTCAAGTTTATTTTCCCGACCACGTTCAGAGAAATAGAGGCGCCCTTTTTTTACGTACATTTGGCTGTGAGACTGCAAAGTGTTAACAAACTGAACCGTCCTTGGTTACCAACCACACATTTTTAATTGGGAGTGTATACAAACCCGGTACCGAGAACAAAGTCACTAAGTATACAGACCCGGTAGGGGAACTCTTTTGTGATTTAGGAAAGTTTCAGCGCCCTCTTGGCTCAGGGTTGACCAAGGTTCTTCTTTCTATGGCCTGGGTCTAGATCTAGACAGACAGATATATTTTTTGGAAGGTTGCTTTTGCTTGGCAAAGGCTGCTTTTAATTTCGGTGTGATGATGATATCATGGTCCCTAAATATTCAAAATGTTGTACTTGCTTGAGGGTGGTACCATTGATTTTGATATTGCAGGTTGGGGTTGGAGTTTTTCAACTTATCACCATTGTTTCAGTCTTCTTGATGTTTAGTTGTAGGCCCATGTTGTCACTCTCTTGTGCAATGACATTTAATAGATCCTGTAGGTGTTTTTCATCTTCTGCTATTAGGACTGTGTCGTCTGCATTTCTTAGATTGTTTACAAAATGTCCCCCTATTGCGATACCAGGCATTTCTTCCCATGTGTCTCCTGATATTTTCACTATGTAGGGCGTTTTAAATTTCATTTCATTCACTTATTGCTAGCTTCACGTCTAAGAGCAAGTAAGAATGCCACAGGTATTCAATTTCCGACATTGAAACTGTAACCATTCAGCTCTCTATTTGCAACACTTTATTTCTTTTTACCATAGTATCATTGGACATCATTAGTCTGTTGATTTGTCACATCCACTCTACACTCAGTAAAACTAACAACTCCTGTCAGTCAAACTCAAAAGGCAGCGGAGACCAGTATGTTTATTGTAGGACCTGATTGTAACAATCCTCACTTTCAATTTTCAATATATCTCTTTTTCCTCCGTTCTTGTTTATTCTTTTCAAAAATACTGTGTCCATTTACTGCATTTGCTTAACAAATAACTTTCTTGTAAAGAAAAAATACTTTTAAGTTTGATACAAAGAAGTTCTAGTGAAATATTGTATGCCGTATTTTGTCCAGTAAC